GACCAGGTTTGCACACACTGCAGCAGGGATTTTAGCCCACTCCTCCATACAGACCTTCTCCAGATCCTTCAGGTTTCGGGGCTGTCGCTGGCCAATACGGACTTTCAGCTCCCTCCAAAGATTTTCTATTAGGTTCAGGTCTGGAGACTGGCTAGGCCACTCCAGGACCTTGAGATGCTTCTTACGGAGACACTCCTTAGTTGCCCTGGCTGTGTGTTTCGGGTCGTTGTCATGCTGGAAGACCCAGCCACGACCTATCTTCAATGCTCTTACTGAGGGAAGGAGGTTGTTGACCAAGATCTCGCGATACATGGCCCCATCCATCCTCCCCTCAATACGGTGCAGTCGTCCTGTCCCCTTTGCAGAAAAACATCCCCAAAGAATGATGTTTCCACCTCCATGCTTCACGGTTGGGATGGTGTTCTTGGGGTTGTACTCATCCTTCTTCTTCCTCCAAACACGGCGAGTGGAGTTTAGACCAAAAAGCTCTATTTTTGTCTCATCAGACCACATGACCTTCTCCCATTCCTCCTCTGGATCATCCAGATGATCATTGGCAAACTTCAGACGGGCCTGGACATGCGCTGGCTTGAGCATAGGGACCTTGCGTGCGCTGCAGGATTTTAATCCATGACGGCGTAGTGTGTTACTAATGGTTTTCTTTGAGACTGTGGTCCCAGCTCTCTTCAGGTCATTGACCAGGTCCTGCCGTGTAGTTCTGGGCTGATCCCTCACCTTCCTCATGATCATTGATGCACCACGAGGTGAGATCTTGCATGGAGCCCCAGACCGAGGGTGATTGACCGTCATCTTGAACTACTTCCATTTTCTAATAATTGCGCCAACAGTTGTTGCCTTCTCACCAAGCTGCTTGCCTATTGTCCTGTAGCCCATCCCAGCCTTGTGCAGGTCTACAATTTTATCCCTGATGTCCTTACACAGCTCTCTGGTCTTGGCCATTGTGGAGAGGTTGGAGTCTGTTTGATTGAGTGTGTGGACAGGTGTCTTTTATACAGGTAACGAGTTCAAACAGGTGCAGTTAATACAGGTAATGAGTGGAGAACAGGAGAGCTTCTTAAAGAAAAACTAACAGGTCTGTGAGAGCCGGAATTCTTACTGGTTGGTAGGTGATCAAATACTTATGTCATGCAATAAAATGCAAATTAATTACTTAAAAATCATACAATGTGATTTTCTGGATTTTTGTTTTAGATTCCGTCTCTCACAGTTGAAGTGTACCTATGATAAAAATTACAGACCTCTACATGCTTTGTAAGTAGGAAAACCTGCAAAATCGGCAGTGTATCAAATACTTGTTCTCCCCACTGTATATAAGCCATATAAGCCAAGCTTACCTCCCGCCAGAGAGAGACACAACCTCACCCGACGACGACATGGCAAACCATCAGTTTCAGGCCACTGTATTAGGGTAAAACTAGGACCTCAAAATAAGGCCTTATGAAATACATGTTGAATTGTCTTAAAGAATTGAATTAGAATTATAACATATTAGTTTAGGATCTTACTTGGTGAAGGCCACAGGACTGAAAATGGATGAATGCAACAACCATGTCTCTCACTAACAAATACCATCATGGGTGGTAACTACAATTAACTCGAAAGGCAAGGCACTCTGGGAAATATGCAAATAAGGCTTTACACTAAGCAGTGTGTTAATTTAACACTGAAAAGGACTCGTATCGACACTGGACCCGTGTTAAAATTAACATTGTCAGTGTTGATTTAACACTGGAGAATTAGCTGTGCATTTTTTTATTGCAGTCTGTCAGAGCAGAGAGACAGGCCTTTGTACAAGAGGCAGGGTCAGAGCTGAGAGAGAGACAGACCAGAGGCAGGGAGATGGCAGGGTCAGAGCTGAGAGCGAGACAGACCAGAGGCAGGGAGATGGCAGGGTCAGAGCTGAGAGCGAGACAGACCAGAGGCAGGGAGATGGCAGGGTCAGAGCTGAGAGAGAGACAGACCAGAGGCAGGGTCAGAGCTGAGAGAGAGACAGACCAGAGGCAGGGTCAGAGCTGAGAGCGAGAGAGAGAGAGAAAGAGAGAGAGACAGACCAGAGGCAGGGAGATGGTGTCCTTGAAGAAGAGAATGAAGGGAGGAAGGAAGTGTCATTGAAGGAGGGAAAGTGGATAGTTTATAATAGGTTGTATAAATTGACGTGCTTTTATTAGACTATCTCTGTAACGTATACGCAGGGAGTCAGGAAGCAGGTGCAGAAGGTGAGTTTAATAATAATAAACATGAAAAAAATACAAAACAGGACACGCGTGCTGAACATAACCAAAACCAATACTGCCTGATGACTGAGGCTACTGAGGGCTGTATGAAGAGAGAATAATCAGGGTGGTGATGTCCAGGTGTGCGTAACGATGGTTGCCAGGTGTGCGCAATGTGGGTTGCCAGGACCGGTGGTTAGTAGACAGACGACGAGCGCCGGAGGGAGCAGGAGTAGCCGTGACAATGTCCTTTTCAGGTGGTCTTAGAAGTGTCAATTTAGAGGCATTTAGGGCAGAGTGTATTTTAGTTATACAGTTCAACAGTGGTCGATCTCCAAGGCATTTCTAGTCGATCACCAAACATTTCTATTTTTTCACATTTGTTTCACGCTGTTGGCGATAGGTTCACTTGATTCAGCAGCCCTAGCACCGGGAAGGCAAAGTGTTCCCATTTTGATGTCATGTGTCTGAAGGTAGAACTCTGTCACACCCAGCAGGCCCAGAGAGCAAATCAAGTTCACCTATAGGGTCTACCATTGGCCAATCAGATAGTTCAAATCACCGTGTCTGCACAATTTCCTCGAGCCATAGACTGTAAAAAGAAGCCTCGTAGGCACAGCAAAGTTGATACTGTGAGATTTCAAAACTTTTAAAACTATGACTAGAGAGAGACTCAACGAATACAGAAAAGAGCTGGTGTTTTTATGAGTAAGTTCATGTTTAAGTTTTATAAACAGTTAAATGCGCGTTCTCCCTACTTCCACTCACACTACAACCAGCACTGCAGCTGCAATAAATGAGTATAGCAAAGTGTTCCGATAAGCTTGCGTTGTTATTATTAGCAGCTTGTCTTTTTTTAATATCGAGGAATATTTCACTTTCCCTGGTCATAGGAGTAACAACATGAATTGGTGCATTAGACAGAAATAATGCAGTGCAAGTTGAGTTTCGCCATCAGCTGGACTGTGTCCCCTTTTCTCAGCGGAGGGACGGTGAGTCGGGGTCACTCGGGTGAGAGGTAGCCTCACCGCTGCTCCCTCCCCCACTCATACTTCTTAACAGCTCCTACCCCCAAGCCATAAGACTCCCGAACAGCTAATCATGGCTACCCGGACTATTTGCATTGCCCCCTCCCACCCCACCCCATCCCCCTCTTTTACGCTGCTGCTACTCTGTTTACTATTTATGCACAGTAACTCTACCCACATGTACATATTACCTCAATTACGTCGACTAACCGGTACCCCGGACATTGACTCTGTACCGGTACCCCCTGTATATAGCCTTCCTACTGTTATCTTATTTTACTGCTGCTCTTTAATTATTTGCTATTTTTATTTTTTACTTATCTATTTTTTAGTTAACATTTTTTCTTCTTAAAAACTGCATTGTTGGTTAAGGGCTTGTAAGTAAGCATTTCACTGTAATGTCTACATCTGTTGTATTCGGCGCATTTGACCATCAGATGCAGGCCATCAGTCCAGTAAAATAAAAATAAATATATATATTATGCTCACTCAGCTGTGCCTCACAAATAACACAACAAATTATCTATTACCAGTGTGATCATTTCAAAAAATATAATTTCAAAATGGTCTGAGTAGAACAACATTGGCAGGGCAATTCAAGCATAGCCAATATGCAGTGACAATGTATTGGGCCTATAGCCTACTGCACAAACCTCATTGCTACAGAACTGTTTTTAACTGGTTAATGTTGCATAGGCTTACATTTTTTTTAAGTTTAAAAAAAATCTGAGCGGTACCTCTGCTTGCATTTTGACTCAGAAAGTGATCTTGACTCCGAAGAGGTTGGTGACCACTGCAGTACAACAAGGCTGCTGGCTTCTTTGTACTTCTTTACCTAGATCAGTAGGCAACAGCCAGCATAATGTAAAGACTGATCCTTAAAGCAAAAAAAGTGTTGCTGAATATTTGTTCATCTTCAAGCTGCTCTAGGGTTCATGCTGCTTGGTTTTTTGAAGTCGAAGTAGCGACAGCATTTACTTTTCTCTATACCATTAGGACATCTCTGTTTCTGTGTACCACCTACCTGAGGGTGTTTACCTGGTCAGTCATGTGCTCAACTGTGATTGCTTTTTATATATTACCATTCTCATGCAACTCAATTTCTCGGTGTAATAGAAAGTGCCAGCGTAACCCTACATAGCTGCTCAATGTCCCCGAATAAATCTACTTGAAGGTCAGAACAGGTGAAAAGAAAAACATTTTGTGACGATAAATCAGGAATATTACTGTTCTCATATTTGTGTCTATTTGGTGGAGGGAAAACAAGGAGCTACTGTATAAAATCATTCTACAGGATAAAGAAAGGTATAACATTAGATATTTTAGTCATTTAGCAGACAGTCTTATCCAGAGCGACTTACAGTAGTGAGTGCATACATTTTCATACTTTTTTTTCCCATACTGGTCCGCCGTGGGAATCGAACCCACAACCCTGGCATCATATACTATTGAAGTGGACTGGAGGTGACTGTGTGAGGCTAAGGAATGGTTTCTTCTGCCTAGCTGTGAACTGCTAAAAATAAGAATAATATGTGGTTCTATAAAACCTTTTTGAGGGTGAAGCAAGCCATTGAAACCTTTTTGGTTATAACACCATTTCTTCTAGCACTTTGTGGTACATTAGGTGGGTTCTTGGTGAGGTAGAGCTCAGGGAGGTTTGATCTGTGATGCTGACCTGACGTGTGTACTTTCCATGCACTATGTTCCAGGAACAGACAGGTTAACAATAAAGAACGTTATGGGAGTGAGGACATTTTCTAGTTCATTATATTGTTTCTCTGAGCCAGCTTGTTGAATGGGTCTCTGTAGCAGTGTTCCTATTTCCCTGTGCATGCCTTTCACCTTCCCTGTAGCGTGTATGCTCTCTCTCCTATTTCAACTTTAGAATTGTCTAAAGTAATTGGCAAGACTCCTTTTGTGGTTTGTGCCATGTTTCATTAAAATGTGCCAACTTATTCCTTTGGACCCACTGTCTGTGCTATTGCGTGTGTGTGCCTTTGGCAAAGACAGGTTGTTGCTCTCTTTCCGAGGACGCAACCACACTGTAGCTGGACTAGAGAAGAGGTTAGGTTGGGTGGAAGTGCAGTCTCAGATGTGTGTGTCAGTCAGTGCTAAGGTTGGTTGATTCAGAATGCTCAGTTGTTATTTTCATACCTTTACTCTACCTCCAGTGCCTTTCATGAAGTCAATCACAGTGTGATGGTTTCAATCCTGGCTTAAGTGTGGTATTGTTAATGTCAAAGAGGCGCTCCGCTCAGTTTTGATCAAAATGTTGCTGCCTTTCTTCATTTGTTTCCTCAGTGACCTCTGAGTAAGGTTCAGAGTTCAGAGGTCAATCATTCTTGCCTCTGAGTAGAAGACAGGGATCATAATCCATCCCTGCCCCATCCGTTTCTCTGTCTGTCCCTCCATGACTCATCCTCCTGTTTCTTTATCTCCTGTGTCTGTGTTTCAAGCAGAGAGACGACGTCTAGATTATGGATTTACACTTTGATTTTATCACATGTTAGGAAAGGGAGACTAATTCAAGTAGCGCTACAGTGGATGACATAAAGTTAAAGATCTGCTCAATGAATACAATACACTGATAGATACTGTCTTTCTTTTTTAGCTCTCTCTCTCTCTACCTCACTATCGCTCTCTTTTCTCGATCTCTCTCTGTTCTCTCCTTGCCGTACTCTTTCTATCTCTACCTCACTATCTACCGCTTCTCTCTCTCTTTCCTCCCTTTCTCTCTCTCCTACCTCTCTCTCTCTCTCCTCCCTCCCCCTCTTTCTTTCATTCTCTCTTCTCTGCAGGCTGTTGATGGAGAGGCTTTCGAATGACAGCCGGGACAGTGGTCATCACAGGCGGTATTTTAGCTACAGTTATCTTACTGTGCATCATCGCAGTACTGTGTTACTGTAGACTGCAGGTAAGACCTTCTCATGACCCTCTCTCTGTATATAGTGTAAATCTGACCTGAGAGAAGACTGGCTTCTTTAATAAGCTGTTGCTTGTGTCTTGAAAATCATCAGTAAAACTGAAATCCAACAACAAAAAGTCAAGGCACTGGGGCGGCGCACAATTGGCCCAGCGTCGTCCAGGGTAGGGGAGGGAATGGCCGGTAGGGATGTGGCTCAGTTGGTAGAGCATGGCGTTTGCAACGCCAGGGTTGTGGGTTCGATTCCCACGGAGGGCCAGTATGAAAAAAAATAATTAAAAAAATAATGAATGCACTAAGAGCGTCTGCTAAATGACTAAAATGTAAATGTAAATGTAAATGAAAAGCCCCTATTAAGCCACTCTCAGGCCCCTCTCAAACCCCTCGTAAACCCCTCTCAAGCCCCTGTCAAACCCTTTCAGACCCCTCTCAAGCCCCTCTTAGGCCCCTCTCAAGCCCCTCTCAGGCCCCTCTCAAACCCCTCTCAGGCCCCTCTCAAGCCCCTCTCAGGCCCCTCTCAAACCCCTCTCAAACCCCTCTCAGCCCTCTTCAGGCCCCTCTCAAACCCCTCTCAATAACTATCTTCATTGTGGTCAGATCATGTACTGTCACTGAACTGTCAGTACACAATAAACATCAAGCTCCCTCTATCCCTCTGTCCAAGACCTCTGACTGAGAGCTTTAGTAAGATGTGGCATGTATCTTGAACATCATCAGTAAAACTGAAAGCTGACAACAGAAAGACATGACACTCCATCTGATTCAATCTAAATCTGAAAAAAACTTTATTTAGTTTTGACATCAGGATGTGCCTCTCGGGACTGCTCCTCTCTTCGTCGAGGTCAGGCTATGTGGTACAGAAAGATCCAATGTCACGATAATCACAACCTGTGTGTGTTCAAGCTACAAGTTGAATTATTTTAGGGCACTTTATGTTGGTAATGTTTCTTTATGTGTTTGTTTATTTGGATCCCCACTAGCTTTTGCAGAAGCTGCAGCTATTCTTCCTGGAGTCCACAAAAAACACAAAACATGAGAAGTAACAAAACACTGATACACTGATAGACAAGAACAGTCACACAAATTTAAAATACAACGATATACAAACAAGACAACAAAATAAGAAAAACTGTGTTAAGAGTGTGTCTGTGTCCCCTCATGACTTGTTGTTTAATCCGTTTTTTAAAGGTAATTTAGCTATTTGCTTGAGTAATTGGAGATGTTGAGTAATTGGGTGTTCCATGACCAGAGCCTGATCAACTATCACGAGGACTTTCCAACGGTATTTCTATTAGGTGTTGCTGAAAGCGTTTCTCAGATCACTCAGAACTCTCTTACTAGACATGACGTGTTGGTCCAGCAGGGTTCTTTGGTTCTGGGATGTCTGATTTGTGCTCATCAAACCGTCAGTGTGTAGATAGAACTAGGTAGGGTAGATCGGGGTGAGTTGAGACACTTTTTCCATTACAATGTATTACCATAAGACTGTAAGTGGGTCAGAAAGAGATGACATTTAATTAACTAACCATCCATTCCTATTCTATTCAGCTAAAAGACAGACAGCCAGCTCCTTTTCTCAGAATCGCGTAGGATTAATTGTACAAATACTTGGGTTCATCTCTCATCTCTTTCTCTCAGGCACGCTCTCTTTGCCAGCCTCAGATTTATCTCAGTGTAATGTTTTGTAACAGCTCAATGTAATGTTTTATAATAGCTGACCAAATGTCAATGTGTGCCACACGAGACGGTTTTAAACACAGTGTAGATTTAGAACGGGCCTGCCATGTCAGTCAAGAAATGTAGCTGTATATTTTAAGTGATAGTTGCTGTTTGGGTCATCTTCTTAATGTTTCGTTGTCAGCTTTACATTGAATATCAATTATTGTATCACTTCATGTAGGCAATGGACTTTCCAAAAGAGCCATTCAAGTCTTTGAATTATTTGACAGTTGTGTTTTGAACCAGGTCTGTCACAGATCAAATATACCTAGAACATTTCTTATTGTCAAGGATATGCTGTGATTATTAAAGCTCTCTCTCCTTGTGTCTTTTCTCCCGGACAGTATTATTGCTGTAAGAAGGAGGAGTTGGAGTCGGAGGAGGAGGAGCCCGACTTCGCGGTGACGTCCCGCCTCCCGCCAGTCCACTCCAACCATAACATCGTGGCAGCGGCGGTCGCCGCCTCCACCCCTAACGGCCCCACCCTCTTCACACCGCCTTCAGCGCGGAAACTGACGCGTTCGCAGACATTCTGCCCGTCGTGCACACACCATGAGCTGCCCTTCTACCTGCAGCACCCGGACGGCCATCGGAACGGCGGTGACCGTATCAGCTACCGTAGCATCCAACAGCACGACCTGGAACTGCCCTTAGAAATGCCCAACTACCACAAACTGAACCTGACCCGGTCAGTCACCATGAGGGACATGTTCAACCGCAGCTGCAGCATCAGCACTGACGTCTAGTGGAATCGGCGCCACCTCATGGCATGGAGGACTTATGGATACGGATAGATAAATAGAATGGGGACAGATAGTGGGACTGCAGCTCGACAACTACTGCTCCCATGTCCCTCGGTCTTATGCTCAGTTATAACCACACATTAACTGGAGAAAAGATAAGCATCAAACAAAATCTATCCTCTCCTCATTCTGCTTGGTCTGTGGTGAGTAGGATGTTGACCCTACTCTGTCTGGACTCGTATTGGATTACCCTAAACCACCCTCCAGTCTAACTAAACCACCCTCGGGTCTAACTAAATTACCCTCCGGTCTAACGAAGTCCACCCTCCGGTCTAACTAAACCACCCTCCGGTCTAAACAAAATCACCCTCCGGTTGAATTCCACCACATCAACTGTACCGTTGAATAACAAATAACAGACTTTCTGTAGTTGCTGCTAAAGAAACCAAGAAACCATGGTGATAAGGATAAGGGCTATGGAGGCTCCTCCCACTACTGCCACTCTCCACCAATCCCCAGCCTTATCACCAGAAAGGGAACGGAGCAGATCATATCCCAAGTTATGGTCCAAGTTATAGAGTATGCCATCCATCACATCATGGTTTGGAAGTGGAGGAGTGATGGAAGAGAGGGGAACAACATGTTATAGGTCATAAAAACATAGGAAATAAAGGGCTTGTGGTGGATTCCTCTGCTCTGTTTCTACATGCTATTTTTGAGAGAAGAGAAGAGAGAGAGAGAGAAGAAGGAGAGAGAGAGAGAGAGAGAGAGAGAGAGAGAGAGAGAGAGATAGAGAGATAGAGAGAGATGAGATCCTCCTCTCTCTCTATCTCATCTATCATCTCGTCTCTCTCCATCTATGTTACTCTCTCGATCTCTTCCTCTCTCTCTCTCTACTCTCCCGCTCTCCTCTAGCTCTCTCTCTCTCTATCTCTCTCTCTACTAGCTCTCTACTCTCTCTCTCTCTAGCGCTAGCTCTTTCGTACTGCTTCTTCTTCTAATATCCTACCACTGTGTTATGGCTTGATCTTGTCTTGTACATACAACTGCAGATTATGATTCTGTTCTTAATGTCAGTGTGGATTATGTTATGAGGGTGAGACGTGTGTCCCCCTAGTGTGTGTTAAATTGTGAGGGTGAGACGTGTGTCCCCCTAGTGTGTGTCTTACATACCAACGAAGTGATGTATAGAAATAATCCTAGCCAGCTCTGTACATTAAATGTTATCCTACTTTTTCAGACTAACTGGACTGCAATAACAGTAAAAGGACATTAAAGCGGGGGCGTTTAAGTTATGTTATTTATTAATGTGCCAATTTATCAAACCGTGTGTAGGGTTGGCTTAACTCGTTGGGATAAACAAGCTAAGAGGGATTTCAACAGTTTTTTTCCCTTTTTTAGGTTTTACTTCAGTCGTTATCATTACTGTGAAACACTGTCTATTCTAATTAGGTCTGATGAGAAAACATACTGATGAGAAAACTAAATAAATGACTGATATTTTATACACTTTAGCTTTACAATGTAATTTATGGTAATCTTGTTCACTGGAGTTTGAAATCGTGCTCTTTTCACCTGATTCCTTGTGTTGTCTAAAATCTGAGATCCACGGGCTAATAAAGCTGAACAACATTTTGTGGCTTTTCTTCATTCAATTGGTTTGGACTTGGCCTAGCTCCCTCTACACACGCCTTGCTGGACCAGGAGGATGTACTAACTCCGCACTCGATTGAGTCTGATCGTTCTCTCTGGGCTCTGCTAGCAGCACTGGAGGAGAGGAGGTATTAGCTGTGCTGTGTGTACAGTATAGTCAGGATGGGGATGGAGAGACTGCGGTTGTGTTTTCATGCCCACAGGCCACTCTTTCAATCAGATTATTTACTGCTGAGATTAAATCGGAGGGAATGTGCGGTGGGGGCTGGAATCTGATTGGCTCCCTCATGTTATTGTTTTCTCACTCCATCCGTACAACACTGTTGTTTTGTTTATTCCAGGAAGTGAAACATTTTGTCTGAACAGTATGTGACTTTTTATTTAATTGATCTATTCTTGCATCATGTTTATTCAAAACAAACACACAGATACACATACAGTACACACATGTATGAATACATAATATTTTTCAAAAATGTATCTTATTTTTAACAACTTTACTACTGACAGCCGCACAGGAAATGAGTGCCATAAGGAGTTGTATGAGAGACAGACATTAAATACATTATTATATTATATTTATTTTAACTTTGATTGTTGTTATTATTATTATTATTATTATTATTACAGTATTGGTGTTCTTTGCTGAACTACGGTATTGCTTAATCTCAGTATTTGCATTTTATGATCAACTTTCTTTGTTTCCGAGCTCTCTATGTTTATGTTATTGTTTTGACTGTATGACAAACAAACACATGGTCAATAAAAGGGTGTGAAAATCTATAGTATTTATGCGCTTCTCTACAACTGTAGTTGTCACAAGGAAAGCAAATACACCGTTTCTTACTAAGGACTTCCTCCTAAAGACCACCTCCCCAATCCTTACTCTGAGTTATACTCTACTGACCAAAAACAGAAATGCAACATGTAAAGTGTTGGTCCCATGTTTCATGAGCTGAAATAAAATATCCCAGAAATGTTCCATACACAAACCCTTACAAAAATGAATTTGTTGCTGCAAACTTCCCGCAGGTTTGTGGCAAATTTACTAGAAACTAAATAGTGTGGCACAAAATGTTGCCACAAGTTTGAAAACGTTTGCCGGCTAGTGGTGATTCTGCGGCAAACCTTTGGCGACAATAATATTTATTGCTACTAGTGGCAAACAGTTTACCTGAAGCCGTTTCTGGTGAACAAATGAGTTCCAAGACCAGTAATGGTTGATGACCAATCAAGGGGACTAGAAACATCTGTTGGAAAATGGAAACCAAGCAATCTAGCTACAGTTGAAGTCGGAAGTTTACATAGACCTTAGCCAAATACATTTAAACTCAGTCTTTCACAATTCCTGACATTTAATCCTAGTAAAGATTCCCTGTCTTAGGTCAGTTAGGATCACTACTTTATTTTAAGAATGTGAAATGTCAGAATAATAGTAGAGAGAATTATTTCTTTCAGCTTTTATTTCTTTCATCACATTGCCAGTGGGTCAGAAGTTTACATAAACTCAATTAGTATTTGGTACCATTACCTTTAAATTGTTTAACTTGGGTCAAATGCTTCGGGTAGCCTTTCGCAAGCTTCCCACAATAAGTTGGGTGAATTTTGGCCCATTCCTCCTGACAGAGCTGGGGTAACGGAGTCAGGTTTGTAGGCCTCCTTGCTCGCACACGCTTTTTCAGTTCTGCCCACACATTTTCAATAGGATTGAGGTCCGGCCTTTGTGATGGCCACTCCAATACCTTGACTTTGTTGTTCTTAAGCCATTTTGCCACAACTTTGTCCATTTGGAAGACCCATATGCGACCAAGCTTTAACTTCCTGACTGATGTCTTGAGATGTTGCTTCAATATATCCACATCATTTTCCTTCCTCATGATGCCATCTATTTTGTGAAGTGCACCAGTCCCTCCTGCAGCAAAGCACCCCCACAGCATGATGCTGCCACCCCCGTGCTTCACGGTTGGGATGGTGTTCTTCGGCTTGCAAGCTCCCCCTTTTTATGGCGGTTTTTGAGCAGAGACTTCTTCCTTGCTGAGCGACCTTTCAGGTTATGTCGATATAGGACTCGTTTTACTGTGGATGTAGATACTTTTGTACCCGTTTCCTCCAGCATCTTCACAAGGTCCTATTAAATTTTGACCCAGCCAGTGGGTTAATTCTCCCGCCACCAGCGCGTGAAGTCTTGCAAGTATTCTAGATCTAGTGTGACTGAGTGACTGTCGAATGGAAAACGGCTATCGTTATTTAGACAGACTAAGGGTGCTTTGGCTGACTGAAAATGGTAAGTAACAAACGTTGCGCATTATGAATTCTTCTTCTTCGATGAGGTTTAACGGCGGTTGGCATCCAATATGTTGCATTACCGCCACCTACTAGGCTGGAGTACAACTCCCTTATGTTTTGCTTGAAAAATAAAATTAAAATAAAGAAATACCCTACCATCTAACACTACACTCACAAATTCAAAAAATTAAATAATAATAATAATTAACACCACCCTACTCCACTATTTAAATCTATGTATTCCTACCTCCTGCCCTCAACCTGAAAGAATGGGACATCACCACTTAACACATCCTGTAACTCTTCTGATGTCAAGTCTTGCACACCCGAGTGTGCTCCCGAGTGGCACAGCAGTCTAAGGCACTGCATCTCAGTGCTTGAGGCGTCACTACAGACCCCTTGATTCGATTGGGAGTCCCATAAGGCGGTGCACAATTGGCCCAGCGTCGTCAGGGTTAAATAAGAAACTGTTCTTAACTGACTTGCCTAGTTAAATAAAGGTTAAATAAATACATTTAAAAAACACCCAAATACCTCTGCAGCTGCCACCACAACCTCAATTTTCTTCGACTTACGTTCCATCCCTGCACTACAATTAATAACCATTGCAATAAATGCTAAAAATCTAATCTTACCGCTTGTAACGCCAAGGTAGTGGGTTCGATCCCCGGGACCACCCATACACAAAAAAAAAAAAATATGCACGCATGACTGTAAGTCGCTTTGGATAAAAGCGTCTGCTAAATGGCAGATTATTATTATTATTATTACCGAAACATATACAGTGAGGGAAAAAAGTATTTGATCCCCTGCTGATTTTGTACGTTTGCCCACTGACAAAGACATGATCAGTCTATAATTTTAATGGTAGGTTTATTTGAACAGTGAGAGACAGAATAACAACAAAAAAATCCAGAGAAGCGCATGTCAAAAATGTTATAAATTGAATTGCATTTTAATTAGGGAAATAAGTATTTGACCCCTCTGCAAAACATGACTCCAGTCTCTCACTGTTCAAATAAACCTACCATTAAAATTATAGACTGATCATTTCTTTGTCAGTGGGCAAACGTACAAAATCAGCAGGGGATCCAATACTTTTTTCCCTCACTGTATCACTTATTGGCCTATCCCTCTGTACTGGTACATCTCTACTACTCTCACCACTCCTCCCCCTTGACCCATCTTCCTCTACTTTCTTCACTGCCTCAGCATATGACAACTTCTGCACTACTCTTACCCTGGAAACCTCAACCTGCCTCTCTTTCACAGGACATTTCTGATCCCCAGCCCCATGGGCACCCCTACAATTGGCACGTACCACTACTTTCCCCAATGCTACACATTCCTTTGTCTCATGCCCTTCTGCACACTTCTCACACCTTGGAACCTCCCTCCTAAACACTGCTGCCACATGCCCGTAAGTTTGACACCTGTAACATCGTAATGTATTCGGCACATAAGCTCGTAAAGGATAACTTATACAGTGGGGAGAACAAGTATTTGATACACTGCCGATTTTGCAGGGTTTCCTACTTACAAAGCATGTAGAGGTCTGTAATTTTTATCATAGGTACACTTCAACTGTGAGAGACGGAATCTAAAACAAAAATCCAGAAAATCACATTGTATGATTTTTAAGTAATTAATTTGCATTTTATTGCATGACATAAGTATTTGATCACCTACCAACCAGTAAGAATTCCGGCTCTCACAGACCTGTCAGTTTTTCTTTAAGAAGCCCTCCTGTTCTCCACTCATTACCTGTATTAACTGCA